AACCAGGGCTGACCCTGCTTAGCTTCCAAGATCAGACATGATCTGGTGCCTTTAGGGTGTTTAGGCCACTTAGGAGATCAATAAATCCCCTCTTTTCTTTTTACATCTGAGAAAAAACGGCCGGATGGATGTAGCCTGGGTTGTTGCTGTTGTTGTTGTAAGCCTTCAGGTCCTTTCCAACTTATTGCAACCAAAGTAAGCTACCCTGTCACTGCCTTCCTCTGAGGCTGAGAGAGTGTGGCTTGCCCAATGGGTTTCTGTGGCTGAGCAGGGGACTCGAACCCTAGTCTCCAGAGTCATCGTCCAGCACTCAAACCACTAAATAAGGGTAGCTTACTTTGGAGTAAGCCTGCTAAGCTTTTTGCCAACAGTGGGCACTTGGTTTTCTCCAGGGTAGGTCCAAAATAGTTCTTAGGTGGGTGGTTTCGGCCACCACCACCCCCTATTAAACTGCATCCGCACTGCAGAAATAATCCAGTTTAACACCTCTTTAACTGCCACGGCTCAATGCTATGTAATTCTGGCAATTGTAGTTTTCTGAGACATTTAGCCTTCCCTGTGAGAGAGCTCTGGTGCCACCACAAACTACAGTCCCCAGAATTGCATAGCATTGACCTATGGCAGTTAAAGTGGTGTCAAACTGGATTATTATTTCTGCAGTCCAGATGCAGCCCTAGACAAGCATATGAAGGACGGTGCTGCAAGTTACCAAGCATACCTGTAACTAAACGTTCAACTAACTCACCTTTCCCCAACCAGGGGCCCTCCAGATGTTTTGGACTCCATCTCCCATCAGTTCATGCCAGTTTGGTCAACAAGGATTCTGGGAGATCTGGGGATTCAAATTCTGGTCTCCACTGTTGTTGTCCAACACTTAAACCACTACACCACACTGTCTCTTATATTGTTGTTATGTGCCTTCAAGGGGTTTCTGACCTATGGTGACCCTAATGGGGTTTTCTGTTCAGAGGAGGTTTGCCACTGCCTTCCTCTGAGGCTGAGAGAGTGTGACTTGCCCAAGGTCTCCCAGTGGGTTTTATGGCTGAGTGGGGATTCGAACCATGGTCTCCAGAGTCGTAGTCCAATATTCAGACCACTTCACTGGCACAATATTTCCACCCCTTCATTCCTTCCCAAGCTTCAAAAAATGACTTTTTTCTACTACAGCATCCATGCTGTCTGGGAGGATTATGGATGTTTTAGTCCAAAAAACACATATTTTCCCCCAAACTCTGCATTCTTCCAACCCCTATCCTTTAAGATTTATTTCAACCTGAGGTTTAGGACATGAAAGATCCACGGACTCAGAAAGAATCTACAGTATATGACAGTCGTTCAATGCCATTTTAACTATCCTGTTTCTATCTTGGGGAAATCCTGGGATCTGTAGTTTGGGGAGGTACTCCAGATTTCTAATCCAGCACACCCACATCCATAGCCTCACCATTTTTAATACAGCCAGCCCTCCATATCCACAGATATTTTTTCTATCCACGGATCCGAGCATCCACAGATTGGAAATATTCCCCCCAAAATATAGATTCCAAAAAGCAAAGCTTGGTTTTGGTATATTATATAAGGGATGCCATTTTACTATACAATTGCATTTAATGGGGCTTGAGCATCCACGGATTTTGGCATCCTTTTGTAACCCCAGCGGATACCAATCATCACAAAACAGCTGGATTAAAAAGAAGAAAATGCCCTTGAGCTCATATCAAAGCTTAGAAAAAAGATTTTAAAAACCACAAAATGATCAGGGATGGTAAACGATGATATATGTATATTGGAGGATTGTTTTGACTTTTCGTTTCCAATAACTTGCATAATGTATCGAAACATGGGTGGGCATCATGCCATTCACTCATTGACTTGTATTGTTACAAGTTACAAGTATTGTTACAAGTTACAAGTTCATTTCCATTGGGTGCCCAAGAGCTCATACTGACTGACCATTTGGACACACAATGATTACTTTAAAATAATAATGGAAATGGAGAGAAAGTGCCACACTGCAGCGGTCTCTTCTTCCATTTTGTTTCTGTCTGTGGCAAAGATCCAGCATGGTTTGAGAGTACTGGACTATAACTCTGGAGACCAGAGTTCGAATTCTTGCTCAGCTGCGGAAACCCACTTTTGTGTTACCATGGCCAAGTCATACTCTCTCAGCCTCAGAGGAAGGTGAAAGCAAAGCCCCTCTGCACAAATCTTGCAGAGAAAAGCCCACCATAGGTTCACCTTAGCGTCTCCATAAGTTGGGAGCGACTTGAAGGCCCACAGCAAAATGGATATGTGTAAATATATATTTGCTGGTGTATAAATTGATGTGGGTAAATAAGAGCCAGTGTGGGGTAATGGTTTAAGCGTTGGACTATGACTCTGGAGACCAGGATTTGAATCCCTGCTTGGCCGTGGAACCCCCTGGGTGACCTTGGGCACGTCACACTCTCTCAGCCTCAGAGGAAGGCCATGGCAAACCTCCTCTGAACATACCTTGCCAAGAAAACGATGCAATCACCTTAGGGTTGCCTTAAGCTGAAAAACAACTTGAAGGCCCACAACAGCAACAAAATTGGTGTGTGTAAATAAGAGCCAGTGTGGCATAGTGGTTTGAGTGTTGGACTACGACTGTGGAGATTAGGGTTCAAATCCCCACTCGGTCATGGAAACCCACTGGGTGGGTTTGGACAAGTCACACTCTCTCAGCCTCAGGGGAAGTCCATGGAAACCCCCCTCTGAACAAACCTTGCTAAGGTCACCCCATAATAGGGTTGCCCTAAGTTGGAAACGACTTGAAGGCACACAACAACAAATATATTTGCAGTTTCCTCCCTTTTTCAACAAATAAACACAACTTTCAGCACAATCTGAATGTCAGGAGAGTACATAATGGGGAAGCATCCAAGGATGGAAAAATGCTGGGACATTCCCTGCACATGGCTTTCACCCTGAGGCTCTGATGCAAGGGACGCTTTGGCTGCAGCTTTCCTGAATCCGACAGGAAACGTGGTGCAACTGGAGCTGGAGGTTGCATCAAGCAGCATGGCTGGTTTCTCCCTTCCCTCCAGTCTGAGATGCTCCGAAAGCCCCCTTTGGCACAAAGCCTGGGAGGCGAGGCTTCTTCTGGGTTTGGAAAGTGGAGGGTGGAGTGGATCTCTTGCTGATCTGGCACTTTGTTAAAGGGTGGAGGGAAGGAAGGAGTGTGCTGGACCAGCAAAGCATTGGAAATCTGACGCTGGGGAGGAGCAATGGGCAAAGAAGTGGGGGCAGGCGGATGAACCAACCAGTGGAGATGAATGCTGCTGGCTTTTCCCGTCCTTCCAAAAATCCCTTCTGGTTGAACTCAGACCGGCCTCCCTTGTTTCAGAAGTCTGCTAGCAGTAACATTGGACCACCTTAGAGTCAGATGCTGCCTTTATTTGTTCTTGTTGTGTGCCTTCAAGTCATTTCCGACTTACGGCAACCCTAAGGCGAAGCTATCCTGGGGTTTTCTTGGCAAGATTTGTTCAGAGGAGGTTTGCCATTGCCTTCCCTGGAGGCTGAAAGAGTGTGACTTGGCCAGGATCTCCCAGTGGGTTTCATGGCCAAGATGGGAATCGAACCCTGGTCTCCGGAGTTGTAGTCCAGCACTCAAACCACTATGCCACACTGGCTCTTATTTACACTCATCAATTGTGTTGTTGTTGTGGGCCTTCAAGTCCCCAGTGTCTTGGCTATATCATGGGGTTTTCTTGACAAGATTGGTCCAGAGGAAGTTTGCCGTTGCCTCCCTCAGGGGCTGAAGCTTTTGGGCATTGTAGTCCAAAAAAGGACCTTTTCGAGGGTTCGACAAAACCCTGCAAGCTGAATTTATTTCACAGTAGCCTAAGCACCTTAAAGGCACTCACCAGCAGGTTTATCACCGGCAGATTTCTCCATCAATTTGTTTGCCCCCTTAATGAAAACCTAAATACACCTCTGGCTATTCCTTGCCTAAGAAAACTCAATAAAATTAATGGGATCACCATAAGTCTATGGGTGTTTTGAAAGCACATACAGAAAGAGAGAGAACGAGACAGAGAAAATTGTTCACTCCTTGCCTACCCCTTTTCCTGAGCTTTTGTGAAAGAGTAGCCATAAACTGCAGTCAATCTGAAGGCACTTCACAACAACAAATGCAAGCTGGATTTATTCTACAGTAGCCTAAAGGCACCAAATCCTATTTGATCCTGGAAGCTAACCAGGGTCAGCTCTGGTTAATACTTGGAGGGGAGATCCCAATCAATACCAACTGTTTTTAGGCTCTATTTCAGAGGAAAGAACTGGCAAAACCACCTCTTGCCTAAGTAAACTCTTCAATGATTGGGTCACCATAAGTTGACGGTGACTTGAAAGCACATACACACATCCTGAAGGCACCAGATCTGGTCTAATCTTGGAGGCTAAGCAGTCAGCTCTTGTTCATACATGAATGGGAGACCACTAAGGAATCCCAGGTGCCGTAGGCTCTATTTGAGAGGAAGGAACTGGCACAACCACCTCCGAGTATCCCTTGCCTATGAAAGCCCTGCAAAATCCATGGGGCCACCATAGGTGGACGGGCATCTTGAAGGCACATACGTAGCGCAGCCAACCTTAGAAACGTCATTTGCTGACTGGGGAAACTCTGCCAGCGACATAACCAGCATTATTGGTGTGTTGCAGTCACACTAAACTTGGTTAGGGACCATGAGAGCTTGGAGCATGCATCCATTCTCCAAACCACACCTGGCATTTGGAGAGCATTACCTCTCGGTGGAGCAAGGATGCGCACAATAAGGTCTCCCCTTCTTCCCTGCCATGTGTGAACTGCTAGGCCAATGCTGCTTTGTCTCAGAGCCATGCCAGGGTCGCTTGATGGGTCAAATCCCATCAGCAGGGTGCTGTTTACATGCGCCAGGAGCAAAGCAGATTAGGGTGACTGGGGAGCCATGTCCAGCTTTGCAAAGAGAGCAGGACAGCCGGTTGTTTTGCCCGTCGGCTTCAATTAGCATGACAGGCTTGGCGAAGTCTCCCTTCCAGGCTGTGACACACTATGAGCGGCGCTCTGCAGGGAGTTACCGAGAAATAAATGAATCGGAAGACCCAAAGCGTGAGCGTGGGTTGCCACAGGATTAATGCGCTGGCTGCAGGCATTCCCCGGAAGGGCTATAAGTGCCGAGGCATTCTTCTTGACTCCATCATTTGCTCAGGGTGCATTTACACTGTAGAAAAAATACAGTTTGATACTGCTTCAGTTGCCATGGCTCCATCCAACAGACCCCTGGGATTTGTAGTTTGGTGAGGCACCAGCACTCTTGGTCAGAGAAGACCAAAGACCTTGTAAAACTGTCATTGTTGTATGCCTTCAAGTCATTTCTGACTGATGTTGCAAGATACAGGAGAACACCTTTGCCTGATGAAGAAGCCAGTGGAGCTTCGGAAGCTTGCAACATGTATAATGTGCATTGGATTGTTATTGTTTATTTGATGTCTGATTGGCTGATTGTAATAATAAACTGAAACATGTATAATGTGCATTTTGGTTGCCCCATAAAAGCACCGCTGTCTTGTGGATTTTGGATGATGCTGTCCTTTACCATATGGCCAACACAGCTACTCCTGGATATGTGTCTTCCGTGTAATTTATGAATGCAAACAATATGTTGACTTTGTAAAGAAACCCATGGCTATGCAAACAGAAACATTTGATGTTTCGGTAGAAATGAACAAATTTGTTAATTGCTGCTTTCCTGGTGGACAGTGTGGGAGGGTATGCCTCCAAAGAGCTACCTTCCTCTAAGTTTTGTTAAATGGCACAAAAAAAGCAGGAAGGTTTTCTGAGCACGGCATTGAATTACGCCAGCGCCTGCTGCTAAACAAACAGCCCAGCGGAGAAAGAAATCATGGCTTTGTGTGGCATGGCTTGAAAAAGAAAAGAAAAGGGTAATCTGGCTTGGTTATGCTCCATCCACTCCACCCCCCAAAAGGCTGGCGGTGGGGATAAGATATTCAGCAGGACTTTAGCCAAATGCGTCAGGGGCTTTGGAGAGGCAACCCTTGCCATTGAGATGCGTGCCTCTGTTGGGTTTCTTCTTCTTCTTCTTCTTCTTCCGTGACTCAGAAGCCGATGAGTCACAGCCTAATAGGGTTGTTTTGCTCACTGCCCTGGCATCCAATATTCTTTTCTTTTCTCCTTTCCATTCTCTAGCAAGAGGCAACCTCAGCCCACCAGCACCATTTCTCTGGGCACTGTGAATGCCACCTGTTTACTTGTGATGTCATT